AGGGTGGGGGAAGGAGAGGGGCCATATGTGGGAACCAAGGGCATCCCCCAACCACATCCCCTTCCCCCATCAGCTTGCAGGGGAGCTGGAATAGAGATCTGACATAACCCCAGGGCTTAGTCTTAACTCTGCCTACTGAATCAGGTGTGAAATGATGGGTCAATCAGAGAGGCTAGCCAGGGTTTGCCCTTAAATCCACCCACCAATTAGATGAGAGATAAGGGAGCCAATCAGAAAAGCTGGCCAAGGTTTATCCTTAACACTGCCCAATCTGATGCAAAATAAGGGAGCATGCAGAGACCCGACCCTAGGATTTACCCTTAACTCTGTCCACCAATCAAGTGAAAGAGAAGGGAGCCAATCAGAGAAGCTGGCCAGGGTTTGCCCTTAACGCTGCCTGATGTTCAGATGTGAAATAAGGTACCAGAGACTGAAACCCCACAGTTTACCCTTAACTGTGCTGACCAATTACATGAGGAATAATGGGCCAGAGACACTGGCCATGGCTTACCCTTAACTCCAGCAATGGAGTGACACATAAGGGACCGTTTAAAGAGGCTGGCCAAGGCTTGCCCTTAACGTTGGCTTGTTATCTCACATCTGATTGGTGGGCAGAGTTAAAGGTAAATCCCAGGGTTGGCCGAGTGGTCCCTTATCTTGATTCTGATTGGGCTAAATTAAGGGTAAGCCCTGGACAGTGTTGTTGATTCCTTTATCTCACATCTGATTGGTGGCAGAGTTAAGGGAAAACCATAGGGGTGGCTCTCTGATTGTCCACCAACTGAACGAGATAATGAAACCAATCAATCAATCAGAGAGGCCAGCAAAGGCTTACCCTTACTCTACCCAGCAATCAGACATGAGATAAGGAAATCAGAGTCACTAGCCAGCGATTACCCATAACTCTGTCCAACCAATAGCAAAATAAGGGCCCAAACAGAGAGCCATCCCCAGGGCTTACCCTTAACTCTGCCCACCAATATGATGCCAGACAAGAGGACCAATCAGAGACCCAAGCCCAGGATTTACCCTTAACGCTGGCCAATTACCGCATATCCACTCAGAAAGGCTGGCCAGAGCTTCCCCTTGACTCTGCCCACAAATTAGATGGGACCAGAGGGTTTACCCTTAAATCCACTCAATCACATGACAGTTAAAGGGACCAATCGGAGGCTGACCAGGGCTCACCCTACCTCTGTCCACTAACCAGATGCCAGATAAGGCAGCCAATCAAGGACACAACCTCAGTTTTCCCTTAACTCTGCCCACCAGTCCAATGCCAGATAATGCAATGAATCAAAGAGTCAATGCCAGGGCTTACCCTTAACTTCACCCTCCTCGACTGCATAAAAGCTAAGGGGCTAGCCAGGGCTTACCCCCTTAACTCCACCCACCAACCAGGGCCTGGGTGGCAGTTGGAGCCAGTTGTTGGTTCCTGTCCAGACATGGAACTGGGGGGGGCAGAAAGTTCCATGGCAAGCACCTAGAAGATGCTGTGAGGTCATTCCCTGCCAGACCTCACCTCCACAGGCCAGGCTGCACCTCTAGCCCTGCCCCCTCACCTTGGATCCACGGGCCTGGTCTATCCCCAGCTCCTGGGCCTTCTTACGCAGATCATCCTTATCAGGTCGGTCGCGCTCATGGTCCCGCTCCTTCTCCTTTGACTTCTTGTGACGGTACCGGATCTCCAGTGATGGATCCTTCTCTACGGGAGAAAAAGACCCAGGAGTCTGGGCTGGCCCTCACTGCTCTGCTCCAACCCAGCTTCCCCCAGAGAGAACCCAGGCATCCAAGCTCCTAGCACCCCCTGCTCTAACACTCCCAGCCCTCACTCTCCTCTCAGAGAACAAAAAAGCATCTGGGCTTCCAGCAGCCAATATTCTCAAGGGCCAGGCCCAACTCTCCTCCTCTACCTGGGGAGAACCCAGGCCTCTGGCTTTCAGCCCTACTTACTCTCACCCTCCAGTTCCCAGTCACCTCCTAGAGAATCCAGGTGTCTAGGCGCCAAGGCCCCCTTACCCCACTACTCTCACTCCCC